GATAAAACTTTACGATTATATCATAAACCATTGAATAAATATCTTATTAAAATATCTGTTATTTAAAAAATATAATTATATTATTTTTAATATGATATTTAACGAATTATTGATAAAACAATAAAGATAAATTTTTATAAATATTTCTATAAAATTAATTGATACTTTAATTCATATTATAATACTTATATGGTTAATTAGTTAATTAGAATTTTAATTTATTATCCAAATAGATTTTGTGATTTAAGTGATTTTATTTAATTAATAATGACATTATTTTTGAATAAATTATCAAGTTTGAAATCTTAATATATGGTATTAGATATCCGTTGTATTAGATATTTTATTTGAACTCGATAGGAAAAAGAAAAATGTTTATTCGATTTTTTACAATTACAATTTTATTTCTTTTACTAACTAATTAAATTTAGGTGAAGCTGTAGTCTGCTAAAAGTATTCAAAGGTATTAATAATTTTTATAAAAAAAAAGTTAAAGGATTATGTATAAGCAGTTACTCAGAATAAAAATAATTTTATCAGATATTAAACAGAATTAAACAGAAATGTTTATTTATTTAATATTATTATAAAGATATTTTGTATATTAATTTTATATAAAGATTTATAATTTTATGTAAAACATTATATTAAAAAAAAATAAAATGGAAAAAGTATTAGATGCATTAAATGCAAAAATAATTGCTGCAAATAAACATCAAGATTTGTTTCTTAAGTACAAAACATTACGTACAGATGAAGACCGTATAATGTTTACCCTCAATGTTATGTTAGAATATAATATAGTTCCTCAAGTATGCGATAATAAAAAAGACGCAAAAGAATCTGAAAAATTCAGAGAACAGGGTAATAAGATATTTATTTCAACTCCGTTGAAAAATTATACTTGTGTAGAAGCATTGAAGCTATATACTAAAAGCATAGCTTATGCTCCTTATCCATCTGAACAACTTGCTTTGGCATATGCTAATAGATCAGCTGTTTTAATAAAATTACGTAAATATGAATTATGTATTCAAGATATAGATAGAACATTAGCATTAGCATATCCAAATAATCTACGTGCTAAGCTTTATATAAGAAAAGTTGAATGTTTAAATGCACTTAAAAATCCTAATATAGAAGACACTATAAAAGAAGCACAATATTGGTTGGAAAAAATGTCTTTAGATAACAAAAAAAAATTAAATGAAAAATTAAAATCTATAAAAAATATGTTACCATCTCAAAAATTTAAAAAAGAAAAGTTTATGAAACAGGCACCGCTTCCTAAGATAAAGACTCATAATATTGAAGTTCCTTGTGCTTCTGATGCAATAACAATAAAATATAATGATAAATATGGTAGGCATATTGTAGCTACCCGTAAAATAAATCCTGGTGAAGTAATTGCAATAGAAAAACCTTATTCATTAATTTTAACTCCTGATAATATACATACTCATTGCTCAAATTGTTTAGAAGTATCTTGGGCTAATATACCTTGTGAACATTGTACATATGCTATGTATTGTTCAGAAGAATGTAAAGCTATGGAATGGAAAAAATATCATGATATTGAATGTGCAATATTTCCTTCCATGTTAAAAATGAATTTTGTTAAATTAGATTTGTTTAGTTTGAGACTTGCTATTCAAGCTGTAAGAGAAGCTACAAGTATACAAGAATTAAGAAAAGAATTAGAAGAAGTTGATAGTTGTGAAGGTAAATAATAATATTTTCATATCAAAATTAGTATTAGTGTTAATAACATAAATATTTAATATAATATTTACAGATCCTCGTACAAAAGGTTTTTCTAAAAATGGAATGTTTCTTAGTGATAAATATAGAAGTTTGTTAGGTCTTATAACTAACACTGAAAAACGTTCAGTACAAGATCTCTTTAGAAGATCCTTAGATGCAAGCTTTATTTTATATTTTCTAGCAACTTGTAGTAATATGTTTGGAAGTCCATTAAAGAAAGATTTATCCATATTAATAAAAAATGATAATGTTATATTTGTTGGTGGTCTTATATTAAGACATCAACAATTGATTCCTAGTAATATTCACAGTGTATGTAATTGTTAGGAATATAATATTATGTAATTTGACAATTATTCTTATTATTATCTCTTATAAATGACAATTATTTTTTCTTATTATTTTATTATCTAATTTTTTTTTTTTTAATAATTCATGCTTTAATCATTTTTTAATAATAATTATTTTTAGTTCTCTGAAGAATGTGGATTAGATGCAGTTGAACGTGGTATTGCAGCTATGCCATTTTTTAGTTTAATTAATCATAGCTGTAATCCAAATATTTTAAGACATTCAAGATCTAATTATATGATCATTTATGTTATATTTCCTATTAAAAAAGGTGAACAGGTATATATATATATATATATATATA